ACACACACACACACAAACAAAGCAAAAACAACATGGTGTTTATTTTGGGTAGCAGCTCATCGAGAGGCCCTAAACCAAAAACTCCAGACTTGTCTGGAGCCCTCCACTCCGGCCTTTGCCGCCCAAACCCCACGGCCTGAAGACTAAACCGAACACTTGAGCCCTATACCCTAAGCTTTATGCCCTCAACTCCCTAAGCCGCATACATGACTACCAGTAGAAGGATGGCGTATAGAATGTGATTTCAATAGCGTAAGAATCGTATACTGTAGTTAACGCATCAGAATTTCGCTCTACAAGATTTCGCCCTGCGTGCAAAACCACAGCCGGTTTCCTCGAGGAAAGTCACCTCCGAGAGCGTGGGAGCCATAGAGCAGATCCTTGCACTCATTACTTGGTTTAGGGTTTGGGGCTTAGGATTNNACTATTTTGAGGGGGCTCCTTATTATGACTATAGTATAATGTACCCCCAAAACCCTATTCTAATTATGAAGGCCCTTATTAGGCTTTATACTGGGACTTTAAACCCTAAACCCTATTCTAATTTAATTCTAATTATTAAGGCCCCTATGAAGCTTTACACTGGGTAGCAGTCTCAGACTGGCTTCAGCGTTCAGGGCCTGGGTCTTCAGGGCTTCACGGCTTAAGCGGGTGTTTAGGGTTTGGGGCTGAAGGGCTTAGGCTTTGAGGGTTTTTTTAGTTTTGGTTTAGGATGTTACGGCATATAGGGTTTCGGTTTGCTTGGGTGCAGGGTATTTGAAGGTTCAGCTACGTAGGGTTCGGATTTTTGCTTTGTTTCGCCGTGCGGTGTGGTAGGAATCTGACTGCTCACATTCTCGTGCGGCCGCTGGGGCTATACTGCGCTTCTGGGCACCGGGTTGCCGCAATGTTCCAGCTGTGCTGACCAGTGTGTGGATCGGATTTTGGATCTGGTTCGAAGGGTCTGCGCTGTCTAGGTGATGTGCAGTTGCTGTGGTGTGTTCTATATGTATATATATATATATATGTATATATACACACATGTGGGTAGTTCTCCAAATCACGGTTCCTATTTAAGTTCCCAACATAGCGCAGCACCCTTGTAAAGGGGACCCTAAAAAACGCCTAAGATTAGAGAGCGACCCATATGGGGGTTTCCGAAAATAGGGGACCCTAATATAGTACCCTAAATAGTAGGATCCTTATTATAATGACCCCTAAATAAGGTACCCCTTATTTTCGGAAACTCCCGTATGGCAGCTATATATCCAAGGATCTCTGGCCGTGTGGGCACGGCGGTGGACATCTGCGAGTTCAAGCTGCGAGATGGCACAGTCTGTACATATGGAGTCTTGGCCATGTTCGATGGGCTCGGGTTTAGGGTTTAGGGTTTAGGGTTCAGGGTTCAGGGTTTGCGGTTTAGGGGGATCTGAGTGAGCAAAATATAGGTTCACCTTCAAAGAGGCAAGCCTCCGAAACTGACCACAGACCGATGGCAGTTCCAACATGCCTGCAGCCGAAGTTCGTCAAGTTTTATCGCTTTATAAGGCTCTTCAGCCAAAGACTACAAGCGCCAACTCGAAGGCCAGCCTAGACTTCCTACAGCTCTGAGTCCAAGACGTTGCCTGAAGACTGAACCCTCTCAGCCCCGAAGCAGCAAGCCGCGATGTCGACGGTGGTTTCGGCGTTTGAGGGCTCAGAGGGTCGCGGGTTCAAGGTGATTCCGGCGGAGACATCGTCCGAGGGCCGTGGAAACTGCAACGAGAGGAGTGGATTTTCGTGGTGGAGCAGCTTGGGACAGTTCAAGTTGGAGTTTACGGGGGTTCTGTGGAGCTTGCGACATTTCAGAGGTCCTCCTCGTTCCACGATCGTGTGTCTTTGTATGTATGTGTTATATCTCAAGCTTTCTTTAGTGTGTGTGTGTGTGTCTCCCTGTCTGTGTGTTTGTGTCTCTGTGTCTCGGTCTCCCTCAGTGTCCGTATGTTTGCATGTCTGTGTGACTGTGTGTCCGTGTCTGTGTCCTTGTGTGAGTGCATAGCGTGTCGAGGCTTGCCGCTCCAGTCTGTCATCAATCTCCCCGTCATTGTTGGGCAGTCTGTATTTTCCGACCACGGCACCTTTGCAAAGGTGGCATAGCAAGTGGTAGGGCAAGAAGCAGCTGCACTGAAAAAACAGTTGACCGGAGCTCCTGTGCCCTGGTCTAAGGTTGCATCTTTGATGTACCACCCACCTTGTAGATCCCAAACCAGGAGCACTGGCACCCAGCCCTTGATCAGGAAGGTTTGCCTTTAAGCTGCTTAGGGTTAGAATGCGAAACCTGCAACTCTGAAAAGTGTAATCCTAAACCCGAAGCCCTGAATCGGCATGACCCTATACTTTAAGATGCCGAAACTGTAATTCAGGCAATTCTTCCGCGACCGTAAGCTGGGTGCCTCTCTGGCCTTCTATACTACGGCGGGCAGGGTCTACAAGCTCTCAGGCCTCGTTGTCTCGTGGAGCCAAGGGTTCGCAGTTTTGGGTTTAATTAGGGTCATGTTGGGTTCAATCACATAAGATAGGATCAAAAAGGGTTACGTAGGGTTTGTGGCTAGATATATATATATATATGTAGATGTATATATATATATATACGGGTTTTATAGGGCTTAGGGTTTAGGTTGGTTTCTTTAAGTATGGGGTTGAACTTAGGATTTGGGCATTAGGCTTCAATACTTCGAACTGGCTTTTGTCATTCTACCCAACCTTTTGCGACAGAGCTGACAAACTGCAGAATGAAACTCAGGGCCATCGTCGGTGAGTCCTTCGCGGCCCAAGCCGCCCATAAGCGCATCTCACCTAACCACCACCGAGGTCCAACATCCGGAAAGACTCTTCAATCACCCAAATGTGGATTTTTCTTACATGATCGCAATGGCAAAGTAGTGGCAGAAGGTATCTGCAGGCGTATGGTTTAAGGGCCTCTCGTGTTGGTTTCCTGGCTGTCTCCAGTGTTTGGGGCCCCGAACCTTTTGTGTTCAGGTGCCAGGCTGGAACACTGTCACTGAACTCAACCAAGGACTCGGGCCCAGTTATCTGGAAGTTTTAGATGTTGCGGGTCGCTGTTTGTTTCGTGCTTAGATCATTACCTGGCTTAGATCCCTGGTGCCCATGACCCAGTGACCGGTAAACAGTGGTCTTGGGATTAAGTGGGAGCTCCGCAGGCATGACTGCAGTGAGATCACCTCGCTTTGCTGCCCCTTTCGGCGAGCAGGTGGGAGTGGTGCTCACGAGAGCCTTTTTTTGTCCAGAGTTGCTGGACCTTGGGGTTCTTCGTAGCATGGAGGCCTGATGAGTTATGGCCGTCATTGAAACCAACACTTATAGCCCCTTCACACGGGTGAAGAGTTTTCGCTTGCCGAAAACCTACTTGTTTAGTGATCTGTATAAGGGAATCATAGCAAGTGGCCCCAAGCATGTGGGTCTTTTCGAGTTTAGAGCTAAGAGCTATATTGAAAGCCGTTAAGAAAGAAGCCCTGCGCCCGTGAAGGAAAATGGAATCGTCAAACTTGGAGAGCATCAGCCCCAGTATAAGTGCAAAATAGCAGCTATTGATGTTATTCCCTTGTATTATATCCCATATATAACGATAATGATAGTATCATTTACCACCGACACGGATCCTTATTCCAATAGTAAATGCCCCTGCATGACAGCGCAGGGTTTCCCGGAAAGACACAAGCTTCCTACACTCGAACTTCAATGCAGCGAACATTTATGATCATCTGCACAATCATGTGCTGCCCCCCTCGATACGAACCTAGGACTAACATGTGAATGCACCCAAACACCTGAAGTTAGGTACTTCGAACACTTAGGGTTGTCGGCTGCGGAGGTATGCGACCTGTGCTTCGAAAATGGTAGCATCTTGGCCGTGCTTACAAGGTTTTTCATCGGAAACCAAAGGTTTGGGTTCCCAAACCTGGATACCATACAGCCAAACATTCAGATCGTCCAATTCATCAGTCGTAATTTCTACTTTCACGCCTGCTTGCAAAACAACCTAAGATATTTACGATAAGAGCCACTCCCGCATCCCTAATTTAATCAACACGTCTGCGTGCGGCCCAGATCCAATTGTGCAGAAAGTTTTTTTCCGCACACTTCTAGGGAGACTTTGCTCCCGAAGACAGTTAAGCATGCTTTATCTTCGGTGCCTCCGTGTTAAGCCGATAGCGTGAATGGCAAGGTTGCAATGTATAGTGTCAGTATTTGCTGTCATGCTTTGTAGCACCACCACAACGAACTAATATGGGGGCCGAAATAACTACCTATATTATTTTGGGGGTTCCTTGTTATAATTGTAGTATACTGTACCCCAAAACCCTATTCTAATTATTAAGGCCCCTAAACCCCAAACCCTAAACCCTAAACCCTAAACCCTAAACCCTAAACCCTATTCTAATTATTAAGGCCCATCCATCTCCCAAAGCCCTGAACCCCTAGACCCCACTAGCCCCAAAAAGCCCCAAGCACTTTGATAAAACCCTTAAACCCTAAACCCCTAAACCCTAAACCCCTATATAAACCCGAAACCCCTGGACCTTAAACCCCAAAACCCCAAACCACCACCACCACCACCACCACCACCACCACCACCACCACGAACTAACTCTGCCGGCCCGCTAATCTTGACGCCGCTGCCCGCAAGCGGGGAAGACCCAATGGCTGCCTTGGGGAGGTTTCTTTGGAGCCCTATAGGGGTTTGTAGGGTTGAGAGTTTAAGGTCTATAGGGGTTCGAGGTTTTGTGGTTTAGGGTTTTAGGGTTTCAGGGTTTTAGGGTTTTAGGTTTAGGGCTTGGGGTGTAGGGTTTAGGGCTTAAGGTTTAGGGTTTTAGGGTTCAGGGTTTTAGGGTTGAGGGTGTAAGGTTGTAGTATGTTAACGAGTATCAGCCCTAGCGAAAGCATTACTCTAATGTAGGGGCTTGTGCAACTAGTAGTAGTATGCCTTGGAGTCTAGAGTTTCTTGTGAACCGTTAAAGCATTACATTTTATAGGGGCCTTAATAATTTGAATAGGGTGTGTGGGAATATTATACCGTAATCATCACAAGGAACCCCCAAAACCCTCATTCTAATTATTAGGCCCTTAGATTACCCCAACAAGGCCCGTCACATTGTTTCACTAAGTTGCCCATGCACCAACTGTCTGGTGCTTAGTAGGGAATGGGGAATGGATCCCTATGATACTCCCTTAAGGCCCTAAACCCTAAACCCTAAACTCTACACCCTAAACCCTAAACCCTAAGCCCTAAACCCTAAACCCTAAACCCTAAACCCTAAACCCTAAACCCATTCCCCCATTCCCTACTAAGCACCAGACAGACCAAGGACTGGTGAAGGTCCTGACCTGCTCCTGCAGGGGGTTTTCCGCAGGGCCATGCAAGGAACATGTGATCGAGATCTAGGAGTTCCTGTGTCTTCATTTTCTGGGATTATATGGTTTTTCTTCATTTTCTGGGGCTATATAGGTTTTGTTGTCTAGATAGGAGTTTGCTAAGTTCATAAGTTCAGGGGGAGGATAATGGAAAAGGAGACCGCACAACTCCCTACTGGGGCCTCCAATGCCAGAGGCGTAGGCTCATTGGGGCTGCCCAGTGTACAGATGTAGTTCGTGCCGCATCCGAGAGATCTTCCCGTCTTTGCGAAGCTTTGAGACCGAAGCTTAACCTAAACCCTAAACCCTAAACCCTAGACCCTAAACCCTAAACCCTAAACCCTAACCTATGTCACTTCGGAAGCTTTGGATTTGGGTAGGTGGTTGGGATTTCCTGTTCTATGCAGCTGTCGGGTCTGAGAGGATCTTATTTACGATTACTGTTCACAAGCTCATTATTGAGGGGCCAACAGAACCCGAAATCCCAAGCCCAGGATTGCCCTAGAGGCTTTGGAGAGGTTACTTTGGAACTGAATGATTGCTCCGGCATAGGTGCAGTTGCGGTTATGTAGGAAACTGGACTTTGTCCGGTGTTGGACGTGTTCTATGCCCTTTTATAGTCCTTTTCCCCTCGGCGATGGTCTCGATCGAAGTTTATGGATTTTACATGGCTCCCGATATACAGGCGATGAAAGAAAGTTATGTATCAATGACGGTTCTACAATGTTGTTGTGGTGTTTTGCTTGTGCCCTGAAGCCAGGGTTTCGGACATGTTAGTTACAAGTAAGCTTGAGACCCGAGCTCCTAAAAGCATGAAGTTCCAGAGCCCAGGAGTGAGATCTCTCGGGTTCGCTATCACTTTCTGTGCATTAGTTTGCATCGGCGGCAGCTGAGCAAGTGGGCTTCGGCCGTCACTCGAGATATCACAAGTCTCTTCGGGTTTCATGGCTTAGCTTTTGGGGGCTCCAGGGTACAGGGCAGTCGCTTTCTGAGGATCGAGTTGCTGGGGTGAGCACAATGAGGAGACGAGAAGACATGCGAGTGTGATATGACGACCCATCCTCCTTTGTGACGAGCTGATCTTTTATGGTTGCATCGTGCAGCAACCAACAATGTAGGACAACGGGCTTGTAGGGCATCTCTTTTCAAAGCATATCACGGTGGATGCAGTACTCTTCACTATCAGTCATCATCCTCGCAATCGTCATCGTTTTCATCATAGCCATCATCAGTGTCAGCTTCATTCTGTGACACGAAGCTCCGTCCTCAGCAGGCACCTCCCGTCTACAAGTTTCACAGGCGCAAGATGCGCCGGAAACCCACCAGACACAGCATTGCTTTCGAAGATGCAGGGGTCTTGTAGGAATCGGGAACTACGGCTGTCCGTTTACGAGCTTCGGGAGTCAAGACTCATTCAAATCATGTTCCCTCAAATGACTGAGTTTTTGTGCGTTCTGCCCCGCGACCCCCCACCCCCAATTCCCAGAAGGAATATGCGGAACGAAACAAGGCTCGGAACAGGAGTTGAGAAATTCGATACTTAAAGCAGAATCTAGCAAAGTTCTAGCCGAATTGGAGCTGGCTCTCCACCGCGCAAGGAAGTTGAAGTCATAAAACCCTAAACCCTAATAAGTGTCCCCCAGATAAAAGGGAGCACTGAAATCCCTGAGCTGAGAGAAACCTCAAAAGCCCAGGCGAAGTAGTCGGGCTCTGCAGAAAAAGGCCCAAGTAGGGCCCAAGACCCTGACTCTTTGCCAGGAATCAGCATTGAGGGGGTGGCCTGCCCAAACCCTGAAGCATTGAAATCACGAGTTTGGAACCCCCTCTGTGAATCCCGCGGCGATTTGTGTAATCTGCAGAAATTGCGAAGCGCAATGAGTGGACATTTTTCGTTTTAGAGCAGCCGGTCGGAGTGACTTCAGAGTCTGGTTTCAACTCTGTTTAGGGTTTAGGATTCGGCGCTTTCAAGCCCTGAAGCCCAAAGTCTTAACCCGGAACCCCCAAACCCTGAACCCCAAACTCGAACCACTCAGCCCTGAACCCTAAACCCTAAATCCTAAATCTTGGCGAAGCGTCCAGGAGCTCCCGTCTCTTCGGCTGCTGGACATTTCGAAGTGCCTCCTGGAGAGCGAGAAACCGCTGGAGGCAGAGCAGCACTCGATGTTTTGGTTTAGGGTTTAGGGTTTAGGGTTTAGGTTTAGGGTTTAGGGTCTCTTTGCGGCGAATTAAGACCGGCATCTGAAGAGGTACTGATGCAATATAGAACACTCCCTGAGTTCCTTCATGTACTTGTATTAGCACGGCTATGCGAGGCACGGCTGTGAGAGGTTTGAGTCGGTTGAGCAGTCAGGAAATTCAGGAGAGGTTTGTCTACATTGGGTGCCAGTGATTGTTGAAACTCCTCAAAGCCAGACTCAAAGCCCTGACAAGTTCTAGACGTAGATCCTAGCTAGAATTACAGAGACTCCCTCAAAATGGCACCCTTCTGAACCCTACTTCCGGCTCGCTTAAAACGGACCTTATTAAGAGGGTCTATATTTCCAAGGGTCCCCCTAATCCAAGACCCAACCCTAAGCCCCAAACCCTAACCCGAACCCTCAAGTCCCAGGCGCAATCTCAAAACCCTTCCGCTTCTTTTTATCAGGGGCCTGGGCGCATGGGGAATTAGGCCAATTTGGAGCCCCCGAGTGCTACAGTTGAGATTTGCCCATGCCAATGTGGATGGTGTGCAGTGTGGTACTTTTCAATATCCATCTATCTATCTATCTATCTATCTATCTATCTATGTATCTACCTATCTATCTATGTGTCTACCTATCTATCCATCTATCTACCTATCCATCCATCTACCTGTCTATCTATCTGTCTATCTATCTGACTCTCCATCTCTCTATCCCTCGGTCTGTATCTGTCTCCATCTCCATGTCCATGTCGATACCTATATCCATATTGATATCTAAATCTAGGTCAGGCTTTTCCGACGACATGCCAAGCTGCGCTCCTTCAGTTGAGGCGTTGCGGCAGCTGCCCCTGCTTAGAAATCTCCAGGCTGCATTAGGAATGCTTGGGGGGGCGGGGGGGGGGGCGAGGGTGGTATGGTTTGGAGTTTTCGGATTTGGGCTTCTGACCCGACATCGTCATCATCGTCATCGTCACCAAAACCATCACCTCACCTTCGGCAACAACAAGCATGACAAAGCAGCAGCATCAGCAGCACTAGCAGCAACAACAACGACAACAACAACAGCAACAACAACAACAACATCAACAACGAGACACAGGACCACCTAGGGCCCCAAGTGTGCGCGGCCTCACCATCATCCCTTGTGGGCTAAACAACCCCGTTATGGTGCACTACACAGTACTGCTGTGAGATACCGTGGCTCCACTCGTTTCGTTTGTGCTGCTTGCACAGGTCCTTTGATCGTTTTGGTTTTGCTGGTTCAACTGTGGGTTCCTGGCGAATGTGTATGTTTGGGGGGAGTTAGGTCAAGGGTTTTGGGGTTTCGGGTTAGATGGTTTAGGGTTAAAAAGTTAAGCCTGAGCGCTGAGCCCGTAGCAAGTTCCAACAACAGCGAAGCAGTAAACGCTCAATCTGAAGCTGGAACCGAAACTCCATCTCCCTTAACGAAACTACAGTACCAGAAGCTCATGAAACAAGCATTGGCTGTCAGGATACCCTATCCATTAAGAACACACGAAGAAATGCCTCAAGTTATTTTGAGGTTATGAGTTTAGGGTTTCAACTTTGTGGTTTCAAGCTTTACATACGGGTTTACAGCTTGCTCGGTGCCTCCACTGAGGCTCTATAGGTCTCTAAACAGGAAAACCGCGGCCTTCTCGGAGGCTTCATGGACACTCGACACCCTAAACTCTAAACCCCAACTTACCCATCTTTTACAGTCGTCATGGCAGTTCTTACAGGGCTTTCGGGTTTGGGTTTTAGGTAATGAGCGGTAGCTGGAAGAGCCTGAGGGTTCATACACTAGATGTTGAGGCCATAGCAGAGAATAGATTCTTTCAAAATTCTTCTGGCCCCAAACCCTAAGCCCTAAACCCCCAAAACCTAAACCCTTAAAACAAACACCAAAAAACCGTAAACTCTTTGTGATATAGGTGGTTTCAGGAAGCCTTGATTTCGGGTTTCGGGTGGGTGGTGCCCTCCCATAGGCCCCATAGTAGTTCCTTTTTGGGGCTCATATGTAGAATCCTGTAAGGTAGGGGGTTTAGGGTTTGGGGTTTAGGGGTTTAGGGTTTAGGGGTTTCGGGGTTTAGGGGTTTAGGGTTTAACATGTTGACCGAAGACCGGACCTCCAATTATATGTCCGTGACATTCTCTTCTTGAGTAGGCCATATCTCCACAAAATGCACGGATGCAGAACACGAGACAACATTCGGAGCATCTTCCCAGACTCCAAACCTTCTTTGTAAGAACCGCGCAACGTGGCCAAGATTGCTATTGGGGTTCCGAGTCCCTCCCGTTTAGCGCTGGACATACTGCGCATTCGCACAGCGTCCGGTGAAGAGCTCGTTGCTTTTGACTTGGCGAACTTTCATGAGACGCTGCCTGCGGGCATGTTTCCAGTTCGGGGGCGTTGAAGCAAAACTCGCACGGCATATGTGGGCTGTCAAAGTTCAGGCAAAGGCTGGTAAACATGGGTGAAGATGCGGTTCTAGATGACGATCGCACCTTGAGAACCTGGGAAGCGGCGAAGTTCCGGTCTTTCTTCTAAACTTCTGCCCAGCATCTACCGCGCAAGTGCCCGTACTTTGGGATGCTGCAAGAAGCGGCCTGACATCAAAAGTGGAGAATCTTCTCCAGAGGCCGCAAGACCCAGATTCAGTATGAACACGTTTTTGTCATGAAACCGCACTGTTGCTCGCATGCGAGCACGGCCGCCTCGAGGTGACACACCTGTTGCTGGAGGCCAATGCAGATAAGGATAAAGCCAAGCAGGATGACACCACCCTTTTGTTCTTCGCAGCTCGCAGCGGACAGTTGGAGGTTGTTAAGGCATTTGCTGCAGGCCA